CCAGATTGAAAGTGTAAGATGATAAAATCCATTGACATTTACCTCTGCTCTCACATGTCTTATCTCCTACGATTCCTACCACAACCCCATAAAGCAAGGTAACACGGGCTTTCGTCAATAGCCTCACTTATAGATAAGGAAACTAAAGCATCATGAAGTTAAATGATTTGTAACTGGTGATGTCAAGAGTTGAACCTATTCATTCATTCATTCAATATTTATTGGGCTACTATACTATATACTGTGGCATTGTTCCAAGCACTGGGATAGGGGCTGATGAACACAGCGGTGGGTTAGACAAAGCTTTATTCTGGTGTGCGGCACAGGAAATAAGCAAATAAATGTATAATGTTACAAAGTGATGGTGCTATGAAGAATCATTAGGCAGGGTTAAAGGCACAGAGAGAGGGGAGGGTTCTCTTTTAGGTGGAGTCGGCAGAGATTCTGGGCCGAACGCTGGGCTCAGTCCTCTGCTCCACCCTGCAGACGCTTACTGCTGAGGGAAGCGGATGGTCATGAAATGTACAGCCTTCTCCTTTGGCAGATGCTGCCCAGGGGTTAGAATGTGCACATCTGAGCAGAAGAACCCGTCCAGCACAAGCTCCTCCCCCCGTCCCCATGGCAACCCCAGCCTATGGTGGTCCTCCTGAAACTCCCGCTAAGTTGGACTGCCTTCTGTAGCTTCTCAATCAGACGATCAACCCCTGAGAGGCAAGAACCACCTCCACACGGCTTACAGTAAGTGTGCATATGCTGATTAATCAGTTGATCGATAAACCAAAAGCAATTGAAAGAGCCAGAAGGCTGTTCCCTTAAACAGTCATAAAGATGACATTCAGCTCATTGAAGAGATTCCCAAATCTGTAGGGTATCTCTTAAAATAAGCCCAGCCTCTCCACCATTCCCTGATCCCGGGACCTCCCCTCACATACAAACCTTAATGGGTAGCCCAGGACCAAATTGGTCCCCCTAGAAAACCAGGTCAGTCGCGGTTACAGTAAGTAGGCAGCTGGCTCAAGCGGTGAAATTTCTACCAAGATGGCTGCAGGTGGTCGAGAGTGGCAGAAGGGCTGTGAAGGAGAGAGCAGCAAATTGGAGACAGAGAACGAGTCCCAAAGTCTTAAAACCAATCTGAAGAGTTACGGAGTCATAAACTGACTAGAGTAAGTGACAAAGACAAATAAATGACTTCGGCTACCTTGAGTTATCTGTTGAGTTTCCACAAACATCTCAGTCGTGTGTTTATTTTTAAATTTTTTTATTTACAGCACCATCGAACATCTTTCACTTTTAAAGGTATGCACGTGTGCGTACATTACTCAGGGGGACTTCACATACATTTAGCAATTACTTATTTAAACTTCATATCTTAGAGTTTTACTAATTCCCCCAAATGTGACAATTACACTTTGGCAAAATCTCCTTTGAGAACAGAAGGAAGACTTAAAGCAACAAAACTCCACAATACTGTAACATAACTTCCGACTTCCAGGAAGGGGTCACTCTCCCTGGAAAATCCTCATCTTTTCTGGATTATTCCCATTAGAATTCAAAGCAGGTTCATCATCTCTGGCCTTGCTTTGGACCAAGAGGAGACAGTTGATCCATCTAGCGACATTTGAGAAAGTCCCATGTAAACAAAAGGGTCCAGAATGAAGCGCCTGAAAAGAAAAGCCCCAGAAAATGACACATCTGCATTGGCTAAAATCCCAATTCCTAAGAACATTTTATTACGGTGAGGGTTATGGTCTGAGGCAAGTTCCATTTGAGCAGTTAGTTTCCTGATTCAATAACTTCATTCCTACTTCATTCTGGGCCCGCTTGTGTGCAAACACTCAGATTCACCAACAGGTGAGCATTTATTAGGTAAATGACAGCTACAGAGCAGGCATGCAGTCAGCATCACTCCATTTAAATTCAACATTCCTCTTTTTTTTTCTAAACCAGTCTTTTCCTGCAGTCTTTGGTTGCAAGAGTGTGGAGACACATTTAAAAGCAGGATAATTTCAAAGCAGGAAATGTGTTTTGTCCTCTTGGGAAAAACAAAAACAAAAACAAAAACGGCTATGATTTGGCAAAGGATGAAGTTAGCCATAAACGATAAAGAATTTTTGTTGACATCGGAACTTGTCATCAGCACGAACATGAGCTGCTTCTCAGGAACCCATAAAAAGAAACATCATTAAGTTTAAAACTGGAGAATTAAACACCTTTACCCCAAGAATCAATTGTACGGATATTATCTGGTCTCACTTTACAGTGGGTTCATCAAATTGAGAACATTCATGAGTTGAAGAGATTACGACAGGCTAGCGAGGGCAAATGCTTTTTTCTTCACTTCACTCACTGTCTAATAACTGATCTGTATACTCAGATTTGTAAGGTTTTTTTGTTTTTGATTTTGGTTTTTTTAACAAATTATATTTTTTCCTTTAAATGTCCAAAGTTCCTATGTAGAGACGACTGTAATTTTTAGTGTTTGATCTCGCTTTTAAAACAATTTTTTAAAGAGCGAATTCTGTGGAGTTGACATATGTCAATGTCTGGAGAGATTTTGGGGGGAATGTTAATGGCATCTAGTGGGTGAAGGCCAGGGATGTGGCTGAAAATCCTAGAATGCCCAGGATGGCCCCACAGCAAGGAATTATCCCATTTAAAATGTCAGTAATGCTGAGACTGAGAAATCATAGCAAAGGCTCTCCCTGCCTCACAGGGCAGCTGCCTTGTTATAATCCAACATCTACCTCAGTGAATCCTTTGACATTGGAAGCACTCATTTCTCCTGAACATTGAAGTTCCTGATTTACCCCCACTAGAGTTTGGCCAGCTGGTGGCCCAAGGGAAAAAAAAAGTAACTAAATATGGAGAATATGTTTAATTCTTTTTCAAACACCATTTCCCTATTTTATTGCAATTTTATCAAAAAAATCGATGGATAACATATTTTTTTCCATCAACAAAGTAGCCCAGTAGCCCTATGGATATTTCATAATGGCCAAATATCAAGGAAGAAAAAATTAACCTCTGCTTTCAAAAACAAATTGAAAGTTGGAAAATAAAAGTGGATGTTGTACTTCCTGTAGCTATGCTGAAATAACGTGGAAAGGACTCTTTTTACAGAAATAAAAGGACACAAAGCTGCCACGCCCCTGTGTCCTCAAAGTACCATACAGGATGGTTGGTCCTGACCCGACACACAGAGGATGCCCTAGACTATTTAAAAATGATTTTCAGTTCTTAAAAAAAGAGAGAGAGAGAATTTTCTGGAATGAACCTAAGCACACAGGGACACTAAACGGAGTGACAGCATTATAAAAAAAAATTTTTTTTTTCTTAATTTTAATCTCAGAGAAAAACAGTGTTATTTAAATCCACTGTTGTCAGCTGCCACCCTCCAGGGCTGATTCAAAGGAAGAAAAGAAACCTTTGCATTTCCTGGGGAGAATTAAAGCTCAGGACAACTAAGGGAAGAGGAAAACCCAAGTAAATACATACACGGCAGCCATCCCTGTGCCTGAGATGGCAGATCCAAGCACCAATACAAAAATATTGCACTTAATTAACTTCTTTGGACATTATTAAACACACTCAAAGTGTCTTGAAAAAGTATTATTTCTATATTGGCTCTGCTCCATAATTTGGTATGTTCCTAACTGTCCATCAAGACACTTTTCTGAGGTCAGAATGAATTATACTGGAATTAAGTACCTTTTCCTTTCTAGAAAAAATACTTTAGAGATTAAAGAACATTACTTGGATGTAAGAAACTATGCATTCCTGTAGCCAGTTGCACAAAAACTGCAGAATTATCATTTTTCCCTTTGACTAAAAGCAGAATGGTGTGAAATTAAATCAGACCTTCAAATGTGGAAGTGAGGGACAAACTTTTTCTTTGGCTCCAGTCAAGCATTTCAGCCAACATTTATCTGGGAGAATTTGGTCCATATATCTCTGCAGTGAATTTCATAGAGAATGCCCTGTTTTGTGTGAGTTCATGCCACACTTTCAATATTAAAAATAAAAATGCTGTCTTATATTTTATCTTTCTTTTTCTTTTAGATATAAAGCATATAGATAGCCAAGTCCAATAAACTCCTAGGGATAAAACATATTTAGACATTTTTCTATTTAGTTAATTCATGGCCAATTAAATTCAGATAATAAACTTTAAAGGAATAAAAAAAGGTTTCTATCCTACTGATGATAGCTACTTACTTAGTTCAGCCTTAGAATGTAGGATTACGGCACATTTTATTAAATGGCGTTTGTGCTGGGGAATGTGGGTGCTTTTTCTGTGACCCTCCCAGCACTTTTGATGGATACAGTGCAGTTCTAAACAGAACTCAATGCTTAGAGCCTAAGAAAGGATAACTGACAGTCCACTATGCAACCCATCAAAGAAGATTCTAGTTCTCTTGTGAGGCACCTCCCATTTTCTCATATCTATCTTGAGACTGTTCTGATTAAAATAGTGTTGCCTAAACTATTTGTTAAACACATAACAGGTGCTTCTCCAATAGTAATATAGGTTAGTTATCGCTATGGATCCAAATCAGATTCTAAAGAATGTATTTGAACTTGGTAATATAGGTCAGAGGCACTAAAGAAAAGTGTAAGCTCCTCAAAAGACATTCAAGTCAGCAATTAATTCTCATTTCTCCCTTGGACATACACTTTTCCATCAAAGTACTAGTTGGCAACTATAACAAATACTTTAAACTATGTCTAATTAAAGAAAAATCTATCTAGCTTAATTTGGGGGCAGGAATGAATACTCAGTGTCATAACATTTTTCTATCCCAGAAATGCTCATTTTATCCTGGTAAATGCTACATAGATTGTACGATCACATAAAAAAAGACTCAAAGGAAATTTGGACAAATAAGTAAGAAATTATTAAGCAATAAATGAAAACAGTCCCAACTGGACTGACTCTGAAAGACAGTATGTAAGTATCTGTGTCATACTTAATAAAGCAGAAATGTTCCCACACTTCCAGGGAAAAGGAAAAGTATTTTATGTATTTAAACATTTGAAACCGCCTATAGCTATAGTTCAGTTCACAGCAGGAAGTAAACATTCATTTTTTCTCCACCTCACAAAATGAGGTGGTCAAAAATCCCCCGTCCCACCCCCCAAGCTCTACTTCCTCTAATGTTCTGAGTGTATTTTCTACCTTAATAAGTATCTATTTTACATTTATTCAACAATGAGTCAAAGACAAAAACGTCTGCAGTGACAGGACTACCTGTCTTCCTTCTGTTACGGTCTTCCAGTCGACGGGGAAAAACAATGCCATCATGGTTAAGTTTCTGCGATGTCCTTGGCTATGAGCTCACCTGAGAGTCAGCTAGAAGTTCTAATCAGTTTAAAACAGAAACTACTTGGAATCCCATGTCCACAGTCAGAGTCCCAACCTTCAGCGACCCTGATACATATACCAGTGCAGTTGGCTTCGGGAAATAAAAGGTGCCAACTACAACAGTTGAACAGCAGCAGGAGACATCCAGGATAATAGAAAGGGGTTATCTTATCAGTCACATAAAAATCAACAGACACCATCAATTAACATCCCACAGAGCCAACCCCTCACTGGACACAGAGAGCGCACATTGCGAGTTTGGTCAGTGCAGACCACCCACAAAGCTCTTTCCACAGGCCAAGCTGGTGGCTCCGAAGTGCTTCGTCTATACAGTCTGTTTCTGTGGTACTGGGTTAAAAATGTGTGCTGTTGACATAACACTGGTCCCCCTGAGTTTTGGGAAAAGCTTGTCCATGGTCACTCACACGGCCATCCAATGATACTTCAACAGCCACGTGTGTTAGTTCTTGTCTACCGAGGCCTTCGCTCTGGTACATGTCCAGAGAGGGACAGCCATTGTGCTCGGCACAGCCGTTGACGTGGGCCACAGGCAGTGCCTTGGGGGGACAGCACAGCTGCTTGGCGCAGCCCTTGGACACGCAGGGCGAGTTGCAGAGAGAGGGGGACTCCTTCTGCTCCAGGACCTCCCGTGAGTCCGCGCCCTCGAACTGGATGGTCACGTTGTGGATGCCTGCGTTGTGGAAGATTTCCCGAATTTTCAGACTGACGTCCTCATATCCCTTGTCCTTCTGAGTCTTGATGTGCAGGGTGGCGATGATCTTTCCACTTATAAGTTCCCAGACGTGCATTTCATGAACACTGCTAATCCCGGGCACGGCAGAGAGTTTACTCACTAGAATAGGGAAGAGCAAACAACAGCCCAGGTGAGAGCCAGGACTGAAGCACGGAACTACGACGGGAGGGATATGGTCCCTTGAAGCAGTCTCACCCAGGTGATGGAGTGATTAAGAAAAATGGCCTCACCTATGCAATTACATTTGCCCTGTGTTCCTTCTCCTCTCCAATCCTTTTACCATACATGGCTAGCTCATAAAAGGCTATTCAAGAAGTTTAACAGCAACAAAACCACGCCCAGAGTTGCTGAGTTTACAAGGGAATGGGCGTGTTAATGGGCTGTCAGAGGGAGTATAAAGCAGGATGCTTTTTCTAAAGGGGATGATTTGGGGATATGGGTCTAAAATGTTTACCGGCAATTTTAACACTAGGAATGTAACCTAAAGGAAATTACCAAATATTTATGTACAAAAATGGTTGGAAACAACAAGGAATAGTTAAATCAATTATATGCTAGAAAATGATACAGCCATGAAAAAGTAAGTTCCATATTTTAAGGATATGGGAAAAGGTGTAACAGTGTATTTTTAAGTGAAAACGCAAATAGCTAAACTGTATACATGGCATGATCTCTTTTGCTTTTTTTAAAAAAAATTATATCAATGTATATACACCCCCCAAAAGAATTTTTTAGGCAACCAAAGGTTTGTTATATTGAACGATTCATACAAAAATATTAAGAGTGGTAATTTCTAGGAGGTAGATTATGAGAGATATCTCTTTTCTATTTAGGGTCATCTATATTTTCCATACTTTCTAAAATGAGTATGTATTTAGAGAGATGGTAGTAAACAGTGATTATGGGCAGAGACCCTATAGCCAGCTAAGAGTTTGAATCCCAGATTAGTCATTTACTACCTGTGTGACCTTGGGCAATTCAGCTAGCCCTTTCCTTATGTGTAAATTAGGAATGATAAATATAGTACCTCATAGGATTAGTTCCAGGATTAAAATGAGCTAATCAATTTAAGTAAAGCCCTTAGAATAATACCTAGCATATAATAAGTGTCATAAAAGTGTTGCTATTGTTATTACTATCTATTTTTAAAATATCTGTTTTTAAGTATATATTGGGTTGTCGGAAAAGTCATGATGCATTTTTGCAATGAACAACATAGAAAAAATACGTCATGACTTTTCCAACAACTATGTATATATATATATATTTTGTATATGTATATATGATACACATATATTACTTTGTTAAAAGGCAACATAAGCCAATCTATATCACATATTGTTTTGCGTATGTTTATCTTGTTTCCTCAACTGGGAAACAAGTCACTGGAAACCAAGACGGTGCTGTGTGTTGCATCTGCCCCTCAGTGTGTCTTTGTCCCACCTCTGCCTGCAGCGCTGGGCTAAGGAGGATAGGTGTGCAGGAAGTGGATGGAGGCTGATTGTCCCAGCTCTGCCCATGAGAGCAGCCAGAGAGCTGACCGCAGCTAACTGCTTCTCAGAGACTGTTAACGAGCCAGTGCTGCCAGAGAAGAGGCCACAAAAGATGAAAAGGACATCCAGCGGGGAAAGATCATAGTTGGAGCCACAGCTGTTGGCAATGGCTTGACCCACCGGAGGACTGGCAAGGCTATGGGCTTCTCAGAACAGTCACACTGCAAACCATGCCTGCAAGGGGAACGTCTAACCATGGCCATATAATGTACTAACATCCGTTTAAACCTAATTTCAGGAATTTGTCGTCAACTAAGGTCTTCCATCTTTCAGTCTCACAGCAGACCTGGGCTCTATTGTGTGTTTAACTGGCTCACGGGTAAACAACATCAGATCTGCCTGAAAACCTTTTTATCTATCAAAACACAATCCCCGTTTAGAAACTCTTAATCTGCATAGTCAGTTTCTCACCAACATCTGGATGGTTCCCATTTAGAATTTCCACAAAATCTCTAAAAAATTTTTTCCCCTCGGATGCACATAACTAAAGGGAGAGGTTGGCCTGTTTGAATGAAGCAACATAGTCGATTTCATGACTGAAGGAGGTTGTGAGTGATCTGAATTTAAAATACTGTCCTTTTGACAGTGTTATAAGAGACAGGGTGACATGTGTGCCCATAAAAAATCGGTTAACTAGAAAGCAGGATCTAGAACAGGAGTGAGTATGGCTTCAGAATAAACCAAGTCTAGGCAGAGTGGCCTTATCTGAGTTAAAAGAAATCTCTGACGTGAGGATAAGTAGCCCAGGCATGGGTATTGCTCTAGCACGACATTCTCGAAAATCTGCAGTTCAGTCACAGAATCATGGGTTGCAAAGGACCTTTGATTGTTGGAGCTGTGATTCATCTCACTAGGCTGCGAAACCTATGAGGGGTATCGGTTGCCTGGCGATTTAAAGGATTTCAGGACACATAAGTCAAACACGGCTCTGACACAATGCTGGCCCTCTGGTGTGGGCCGTGGTGCTAGATCAGGCTGGTTGGACTTACTCAGCTCTTCCATATTCACCCCTTTGGGGACCATCTGCAGCAGGATGACAGCGGTCTCCTTGATGAGTGGGAAGGCAGAGGACAGAATGATGATGACCATGATGACAGTCAGGCTGGGGTCGATGTAGCACTGCCAGTTACACGGGTCCTCTGGTTGCAGGGGAAGCACATAGAATATGATGGCCGTGATCACGACTACCACCGACCCCAGCGCATCTCCCATCACATGCAAAAGCACACCTGCCGGGAAGAAAGACAGACCACTAAGCACAGATCCAAGAGTGGGAGCCAGGTGACATGCAGTGACTCGGGGTCCCAAGTCTGTGAAGACCTGTTGATATTTGTTTTCTGTTTGGTTAGAATAGCAGGATGGATTCCAAAAGAGAAAAATAAAAAAACAATGGCAACTTTGTTTTTTGCAGAAAACAAAACTTCAGGTCACCATCCCAGGACCCAGAGACCTGGGACGAGGAATGGCCTGGGAAGGTTCTGAGCGGCAGACACCTGTGGGAAGAGGGGCTGTGCCAGCTCTCAAAGCCACACTGCTGCCCCCCAGTACCCCTCAGAGGGCACCAAACCAGAACACAGGCTGGGCAAAGATTTCTTCTTCTTTCAGACTGTGCTTTCAATATTTTTCAGAGGAGAGGGGACTAAGATGTATCTTTTGACTCTCCGTCTTCCCTCTACCTGATGCCTCTGCCTCTTCCTTACGTGCACTCGCCTCCTTCTCACTTGGTGCATGGGCATTGAAACCGCAATTGGTTCAAGAAGTCCTCAAGAACAGGGACTCCAGCGATGTCCCCACGGAATAAAGAGCCATGTGTCACCATAAAATAACATTAAAATTCTACAGATAACAATACAAATTTGGGATGCCTTGAATGAAGGGAACAGTTTCTTAGAGGTTTCCATGGTGATCCAGGAACCATGCAGTCCTAGCAGAGAAGCTCTCTATATGCACAGGCTAAACTGGGATTTAATGAGTTAGGTAAAAATGTTGTCAGAAGGATTATAAAATATCGACGCAAAGTATTCTTTTTGGTTTTTGGTTTTTGGTGCTTTTTTTTACAGGAAGCAACATCTGAGTCCTTATCTTCCAAGTATGGGTTTGCAGACCAGCATCCCCTGGGAGCCTGGGAGAGATGCTGTCTTTGAGGCCCCACCTCTGATCTATTGAATCTGATTCTGCATTTTAACAAGATCCCCGGGCAATGCAAATGAACCACCTAAGAGCTCCTAAAGCATTGCTGTAGACAGCTGTTCTCAATCTGTGGGTAGCAACCCCTTTGGGAGTCGAATGACCCTTTCACAGGGGTCGCCTAAGATCATCGGAAAACAAAAAGATATTTACATTACGATTCATAACAGTAGCAAAATTACAGTTATAGAGTAGCAACGAAAATAATTTTATGGTTGGGGGTCACCACAACATGAGGAACTGCATTAATGGGTTGCGGCATTAGGAAGGTTGAGAACCGCTGCTCTAGAACAAAGCATATACAGTAATACCTTGAATTGCGAGTAGGCAAGCAAACATTTTTTAACACATTTTAATGTGGTAAACAAGCGATGTCTTGCAATACAAGTAGTTTGTTTCCGGAACGAATTATGCTCGCAAGCCAAGGTATTACTGTATTAAGAAAAGTCTGCTTTGTCTCTCCTACTAACCCACAGGTTCACTCAGTAAAATTAGGAATAATTTAATATACTATCAACTCGCTCGTGGCTACGACTCAACAGTCTCACTTGGAAGGTGCTTCCATTGGGCTACTTCTCCCCCTCGGCAACACTTCTAAGATTCTGAGTGGCATCATAGGTAAAATGGCATTCTGTAAAAATACTAAATGTAACTCGTGGCAACTGCCCCCCCCCCCACCACCAGGAATTATTAAAATAAATAAAAATCATTTCAAAACCCTATTACTTATGGTACTAGGATCCTGATTCAATAAATACATTAAACAGTCCCATCTACTAACTGTAGGTTCTCCCTCACTCCGCCCCCAAAGGCACTTCTTACTCCTCAATCCCTATCCTGAGCCACAAAGAAACACTCCAACGTTTGGTCTCCACACCTTGTTTCTCCAGGAGGAACTGGAGATTGACACTTTCACCCCTCCAGGACAATGCAAACTACCACCACAAAAATATGAAGACCGAATATTTCCTACGTGCCCTTCACGTCCTTTGCACTGCCTGAGACAGTCAGACATTCCCTGAGTGTCTCCTGCATGTCAGCCTTGTTTCCTCTGCCAGACTTTAGCTAGCTTGAGGTGGAGTGCCACACCCTCCGTTTCCTTAGCTTATATCTCAGCACTGGGGGCATGCAATGCAGGCACTTCACAAAATGGTATTTTCTGGTTGGTTAGCCACAAATCACATGACAGAGAGCAACTCCCACCTTTTGCTTAATAATAACAACTAGAATGCCAGCTAACACGTATGCATCAGGTGGTAATGTTAAGTATGTTACGTGTATTTACACATCAAGTTCTCTTAAGGACTCTCTGAGGTGGTTACTGCCTCCATTTTACAGACGAGGAAACCGAGGCACAGAGTAGGTAAGTAACTTACCCAAGATCACACAGCGAGACAGTGTTAGAGGAGGGTTATCCTTCTGGGTAGTCTGACTAGAGAACAATTGTGAAGGTAAGTCCTAAATTCCAATTTCAAGTTTTCCTTCTGAGAAATCCCACTATTCACCCCTAGGAATTATATAAAATAGTTTTCAAACTTACTTTCCCCCATAATCCACAGTAAGAAGCATGTTTTGCATCCTAGCACACACACATGGAAACAAATGTTTGGTGGGGGGGGAGAGGGGGAACCTATCCTTATATATGACTGACTACTCTTTTCTATTCTGTTTCATTCAATTCTACACTAGTTAGTTTTCTAAGTGCTATACTAAGCTGATTTTATCACTCAAACTACCATGCCTTTCAGCTTACAGAACTGCTGAAGGCATCATGTCACTGAGTTCTTGAGAGCGAACACTGCCTGTGTGTGTGCTGGCCTCCCATGCAAAGGGGAGGGAGGCACGGCCATTACGTTTGAGAACCACCCTCCATTGGCAGGATTCCGAGACAGGTGTGTCAATAACCTCCACAGGAGGATTACTCCCTGTGATGGGAAGTCTCAGGGAAGACGTCTCGAGAGATGGGCAACCGGGGCAGGCCTCTGAAGGGGAGACAGACTTCAACAGGCAGCCACACTGCAGGCAGAGAGAACTCAAGAGAAGGTAGGTGTTCCAGGTGGAAAACTCCAAGGAGGCGCCCAGTGAGAGCTAGACTGTCAGGCCACATGGGGTCATGGACCTTGACAGTCTTCACAGTGATGCTCTATGAGCAACAAGACCCTCACCTATGAAGTGGAGGTGATAACATCCGCCTCACTTGTCTCAGAGGCCTGTTCTGAAAGTACATGAAACGTCTGAAACCCCACGGATACGTAAGTACACAGAGCTGATGCAGAGGCGATGATATCACAGGAGCCATTTGTTGAGTGGGTCCTTCCTCGGGGCTGTCCCCACCATGCACGTACCTCTCACAACAGCACAGTAATGTAGGTATTATCTCCATTATGCAGAGAACGAAACTGAAGCTCAGAGATTAAGTGACTTGCTCAAGGTCACCTTGTTAGTAAAAGGCAGATCTTCAACTAGCTCTGCCTGACTAAGCACTTCTCCCCTGACTATAAGTGTGCATTAAATAGTGGGGAGCAGGGGAGACAATTCAGGGGGCGGGGGGAGGTGAGGCAGTGAAGGGGTAAGAGAAGGGGAGAAACATCTAGGAAGCAGTGTTGGCCCCGGAACTGCAAGCACTTGAATGTCAGCAGTGCTAATTCGGAACTTAAGTTGGATGCAGTAAAGGTTCCTGAGCAGACTCTGATGCGATCACATCTGTGATTCAGAAAGATAAACCCGGCAGTATTATCTCAATCACCTGATTAGTCATAATGCTCCTGAGGGCAGCTTTGCAAAAACACTACACCTTAGCACTTGACCCTCACTTACTGTCTCTAGATAAAAAGCAAAATTCACATAACCCGGCACAAACATGAATTGGCAACTAGACATCAGTTGAAATTTGATGCATGTCCCAGCACTTGGAGAGCTCGTCGGTGCTGTTGAACTTGCTGAATAATTGGAAACACAGTTCATTAGCTCTGGGCATTAACAAGTGGAAGAATAAGAAGTTGTTGTATTGAGAAAAATACAAACATTAGAATGCAACACCTTATCAAAGAAGATTTAGTTTCAACTGATGTCAGGGTTGCTGTTCACCCGTTTATCGTTATCCTGACATGCAAAGGGCTCGTCTTTCTGACATCGTTGCACCATTTTTAATGTATCATGTTATCATATTAAATAAAAACAGCCCCTCGAAAGCACATTGTCAAGGATTTTTAAAGGAGTGTGCTCTCACTGTGCTTTGCAGTACAAGGTGGAGTGTGATTCTTAGAAGGCATTTTTTAGAATTTCATTGGAATAAGAGAAACGGTAATGAGAATCAAGAAATTATTTTAGTTCACAAGAATGCCCATCAAGTGTCTGTTCCCCTGCAGATGGTTGGGAGTGGGGGTGGGGGGCAGGGCAGTCCTGCTTTCTAAAGCAGAGGCTTAAATGTCAGGCATGTAAGGCCTCAGTGGACTGCCCACTGGAGAAGCAAGCCATCCTGTGTGGAGTCTAGAGGAGAAAGGGCTGGAAATGTGAACAGGAGCCCAGGATACCAGCCTCTGCTGCTAGGTGGGGTGATTCTGGAAGTCCCCACACTCTCTGGACCCTGTCTCCTCACCTGTAAAGTGAAGGGATGGGAGTCCATTTTCCCTAAGGCCTTTGCGGCTCTAACGTTCTGTGGTCTTTCTCTGAATCGTGGTTCCAAGGTGAGGAGGACACAGGACCTAAGGTGAGGCCAGCCTCCCACTTAGCCAGAAATATGGAAAGACTCCTGTTAGCCACCCTTCCTGGAGCAGGTCTGTTTGAGCTCAGCGAGTCCACCTGAGTGACAGTAGTATCCACCTGGTAAGGTTGGTACCAATACGAAGTGACTCATTCACGAATGATGTCTGGCACCGAGCATGTACTCCATAAAAATGTTAGCTTAGTTTTCCTCCCACGAGCCTGAGCATTTCACATGCTTTATCTCACAACCCCAGGAAGTAGATACACACTAGTATTATCCTCCTTTTAAAGATGAGGGAATTAGAGGCTTAGAGAGGTCACATGACTTGCCCAAAGTCACAGAGCCTTAAGTGGCACAGGCAGGACCCAAACCCAGGCAGCTTGAGTCCAAATCCCAATCTTTTGGCCACTGCATTATTCACTTTTGTCAATACCTGTGGATCACAGGACTCAGCCAGGTATGGCAAGGCATTTTACACCTGATGTTTTTCTATCCAGGAGCTCCAATGGCTTTGGGCTAAAAATTAGCAAGATCATAGATATTCCCCTTACACTATGCTTCCCAAACTAGGTCACAATATCTATCGGTGCTTATTCTTAATTCTTCTTTGCTTCTTTGCACCTACCTGTTCTCCTTCACTGTAACAAGAATGAATCATTAACAGAACGTGCTTCGAAAAGTGAAAGTGCTACGATAGTGAACTCAATCTTGAAAACCTATAATACATGCTTTTTTTAAAACAGAACCTAAAAAAAGAAAGGTAAATGAAAGGATAGTGATTTTTCATTACAGATTCTCTCCTTCCCAACAGATTCACCACCAAGCTCTTTAGAAATCCCCTGGATGCAGTGAAATTTTAAAAAACGAATTCATTTGGAATTTTTAGGAGGTCATGTGGGTTTTTTTATGATTTTTTTATTAGTTTCAGGTGTACAACACAGCGCAATAGTTATACTTTTTACCCCTCCCCCAATCTGCCACCCCACTCCCCCCCAATATCATACATATCTATTACAATTCCCTTGACTCCACTCCCACACTATACTCCATATCCTGTAACAATATATATATATATATATACATATATATATATATATATATATATTAGTTATAGTTGACATACAATACATGTGTTCTTGTTGATACTATTTTCCGACTTCCCTGATAGATCTATTCTGGGTATCATTTTGTAAAAACAGATGTGAGACTCCCCAAACTGAAGCTGTCTCCTGGATTATTAGTTTCTTTATATTATTCCCATCTAAGTCCACTATACATTTCCCTACACCATCTGAAGGTAAAGGGCTGCACTGTCTTTGCTGAAATTCTCAAAGTCCGTGTTAGGGACTGACTCTTCTTAAACTGCTGTGAAGCAGAATCTAAGCCCAAGAAGTTGGAAAGGGGACCTGAAGGGCACAGTGTCGGTGGCTGGTGAGAAAGGCGCCTCTGCACTCCCGGAGCTGACCTGCACACCCAGTGCTATGACCTTGAGCTCACGGTAGGAGGAATATTAGCAATGTGGCTTCCAGGTGCCTCACCAGAAACCCCACTTTGGACCTGGCCGTGGAGATGCAAGTCATCCAACCGCCCCATCACGGAAGCAGATTGTTGGCAGAAATAACTGAGGTGATAAGCGTCATCCAGCAATGCCACCTTGGATCACTGCCCACCGATGCTCTTCCCACCTTTTTCAAAATGGCATTTAATTAAAGTAGGCTGCGTTTCGTGCTAGCAATAGCCATGGGTGGGGAGGTGCATGCTGCTGATCTGCAAAGACCCAGAGCATGAGGTGGGGGTAAGTGAAGCAAGGGTCAATTAGCAACCAGTGTCTTCCTAATCAATGCCATGATTAGGCAAGAGACCAGGGTCAGAGTCTAGCCATGGAACCCGCCTACTTTCTAACACACCTGATTCAAAGGCAAGAAGAAGACAGCACAGTCCATCAGGACCACTGCACAGGATTTCCAATTGACCCAGCGTCAGTCCTACCTCTGATATTCAGGGCTTCCGACTTTTTCTCCTTTTTCATGGTCTCTTCTGGCTCGTTCCGGGTGTTCAGGGAATCACCTGCATTCAAAGAAGAAACCTTGTGTTGTGTATAAGTTCTACAAACAAAAAGAACCAATGGACTCAAAACCAGTTTTGTTATTGGAACGTCCTCCTGGCTTATCAGACCCCCTACCTCTACACACACACACACACACACACACACACACACACACACACACACACACACGGCCAGGAAGAGTCAATGCTGGCCTTGAAATTAGCCTTGCGATCCACCTTTGGGCTTCATTCACACTCCCCCTTAAGTTAAAACAAAAAAGACGCAAGTGGGAACCACCCCACTCCCAAACCCATAACGCCCAAGGGGGACAGAAGGATGGGCAAAAGGGCGAGGGAGAAAAAGTGCAGATAGCATCTGATGAGGGGGTTGAGGGGGTAGCGATGGGGAGTGCTATCTGTTGCCCAATAATAACTGATTTCCAAAAAAAATCAATACTCCTGTGCAGAGACTAGGGGGAAGGGAATGGACGCAAAGGGGGCCCGAGAATCCAGGATTCAAGAAGAAATCGTGAGGAATCAAAGAAAGCATGGTGACGGTGATGAGCTCGCAGAAGAGGATTCACGTGGAACTGCAGAGGAAACGGATTGAAGAAAAAAAAAGCAATCGTCATAAAAGCAGAGAGGAAGAAAAAGAGGGCGTGGGACGAGGTGGACGGGACGGCGCGAAGGGGGGGAGGCGGGAGGATGCACCCGAAAGGCACCTGCTACGTCTGACAACACGGTCGCCCCCTTCTCCGCGCTGCTTCCCTGTGAGGCCACGCGCAGGGTCGCGGCCGAGTCCGGGCCGGGGGCTACGCGGGCGGCGCCCCGCGGTCCCCCGAAAGCGCCGCCCGGGCCGCCCTGCGCCACCTGCTGCTGCTGCTGCTGCTGCTCGTGGAGGCGGCGGCGGCGGCGGCGGCGGCCACAGCAGGCGAACCAGGAGGCGCAGTCCTGGAAGACGAGCAGCCCCACCACGTTGACAGCCAGCCCCAGGGCGCCGACGATGAGCACCAGCTCGGGGTCGTCTATGCGCTCGGGCCGCGCCAGGCGCAGCACGGCCTCCACGAAGATGGTGAAGCAGAGCGCGGTGAGGAAGACGGCGTTGCTCAGCGCGCCCACCACCTCGGCGCGCGCGTAGCCGTAGGTGGCCCGGGAGCCGCCGGGGGCGCGGCGAGCGACGTAGCCGGCGCCCAGCCCCACGCACAGCGAGATCAGGTCCGACAGCATGTTGAACGAGTCGGACAGCAGCGCGATCGAGTTGCCCAGGTAGCCCGACACCAGCTCGGCCACGAAGAAGACCACCGTGAGCACGAGCATGAAGAGCAGGCGGCACGTCTTGCCCGAGTAGCGGCCCATGTTTCCCCCGCGCCGCTGCGACAGGTGGCGCCCCCACCCCCGGCTCCGCGGAGCCCGGTACCCGCCTCCCGGCCGCCCCGCCGCCCTGCGCTGGGCTCTTTATAAGGCGGAGGCAGAGCGCCCCGTCCTCGCGCGGCCAGAGTCTAAAGGAGTGGCCGGGCGGCGGCCGTATCTAAAGAGACCGTATGCCGCCTCCGGTGGTGGCCTGTCCCCCTCCCTAGCGACCTGGGCCTCTCTGGGAGCTGCTGAGAAGGGGGGGTGGGGGGGCGTGTCTGGATGGCCCTCCTCACAGATGCCCCTAAGCAGAGGTGGAAACCACCCAATGACTCGCTTCTCCTGCCCCGTCTGTCACCTATGCCTTGACTGTTGACCCGTAGTGATAAGGACCTTGACTGCTTGTGGGTGTGATGGCCGTGCTGGACCGGGACACCGCGTACGTGCCCAGACGCTGCTTGCATTACAGAGTCCTGATTGCCCCGGTGGGGCCTGGGCGCGCTAACCTGGTCAAGCCTACCCTGGAGGGAGGGTGCTTCCCTCTTTGCATTTTGAGAGGCTCCAGGGGACTCCCTCACTCAGCGCGCCCACTCCACCACCACCCGTGGTACAGCTATTGTATCCTCTCTTCTGGCCCACAGCCTTCACAAAGGGCGCGTTATCGTTTCTGGCACCCCCTCTTGGCACAGTGTTCTCCCTGTATCCACACACCCGCTTTAGGATCGTCCTTCACCAGGCCCTCTTCCCGAAGGGAACTACAGGTATGGTGCTGCCACCCAGCACTCAGGTATGCAGTCGGCCACCACAGAAGTCAGGGCAGGCCTCCGCTGTGTCCTTATCTCATTCTCCATTGGAGAGAATATTCTGCTCACCCTATGTGTCCCTCACAGTGTGACTTAACGCTGTAGGTCAATCGACTGACCTCCATGGAGGTTTATTCCAAATAGAGCCTGGCTTGTTGACACAAGGCTCTATTCCAAGTAAAAGTCATCCAGGACTCCTAGGAGGCCCAGGAAGGGGACCTCGGAAGAGGAATGTTTGCTCTGGGTCAGTTGAGGGAGTGAGGTGGGGGAGACCTTGCAGGTTGCTTTTATTGGTTTGGTTTTGTATAAACTTGTCTCATTCCAAAAAGAGGATCTGAAGATGGTCTAGTAATTTCTATTCCCTCTCCCTCATTCCCAAACCCTGAACTTTAACCATTCCTGAAAAAATACATAGGTTTTTGGGGCTGGGAAATGACTAAAAATGGCTCACTTGAAGACGCACAGGTCCATTAGCAGCACATTCTAATTCTACCCTCTTTCGAAGCCTTAACCTTGCGCAACGGTCTTGTCTTTTTAATGCTCTCTAACACATCCTTGATCTGAGGGTTCCACGTTTGACCAGATAAGCCTCCAAACTCAGGGAGCCTGTGAAACGTCCCTTCCCCACCTCCAGGAAAACATCCCTACACTGAGCACTTGAGAAAATGTATCATTTAGAGCATCTCTAAAAACTAGTATTAACATGAGCAATCATTTAAAAAGACGTAAGGAGATAAAGGGCAACACAAGTTTTGAAGCTGTGTGGTCTTGCACAATTTCACTGCCATAGAAATAGAGCAATAGGGACAGCTGGTTAGCTCAGTTGATTCGAGTGCAGGCTCATAACACCAAGGTTGCCGGTTCCTTCCCTGCATGGGCCACCGAGCTGCACCCTCCACAACTAGATTGAAACAACTACTTGACTTGAAGCTGATGGGTCCTGGAAAAACACACTGTTCCCCAATAAACACTTTAAAAAAACAAAAACAAAAAAATACAATAAAGGAAGGCATAATACTGCCTCCTTATGTGGTTGTGAGGATGAAATGGGTTAATAGGTGTAAAGCGATTAGAACAGTACCTGGCATGTAGTAAGCACTCAATAAATGTAAGCTGCTTATTAAAAAAAAAAAAGCTGACAGGAAGCAAAAGAAGGCATGAGGTGAGGAGGTGGAGCCTGGGTGGGAGGAACAGGGAAGGGCCACGTGGTCCAGAGGTCCACATAGTATCATGAGTGTCTTTATTAGTATTAGGGTCACAGCACATGTGTAACAGGATTACCGTTGAATCACAGGTCACACACTCTAATACAAGAAAAGATAGGCCAATCCAACACACCTTCCAACTTCCTGGCTTATACTGTCCTCCAGCCATGAAACCTTTGAACCCTGTAACCTGACAGCTAGCAAAGCAGTCAACATGAGAGGGAAAGGCCTTTGGAAGTCACTGACCAGAGCTAAGTAGTCCCTGCTGATTGCATTTCCCGTCATTCACAACTGAAAGAGGAACCTGACATCAGCAGAAATATATCAAGGTAGCTGACAAGAATTATGTCACTGCCCCAGGAGGGCAGTGGAGGGAACTAGAAAGCCAATGGCTGGGGAAACATAGAGGAGGCCGCTGTGAGTGTCCCAGGTGCCCCGCCCAGGGCCCAGCCATGACTTTACAAAAGGCTACAGGTGTCAACAAAATGCACTGAAGAAAAAGGTTTTGACTATTTTCTATATATAAAATAATACACAAAATGTCTATTTATATGTAAGTGTATATGTAATATATAAGTATGTAAAACTATGATTTGGTGAATTTATATATACTATGTATATTTGTAACACAAAGGTCCTTTTTGTACCCAAAAGGACGCAATTTTGTCCCTCAAAGTTTTTTAGCATACATGAACTTGAAGGGCTTCGTTGCTTGAGGTGAGCACTCTTTTTAATGACAGAGGCATGAGATGTGAGAAAGAAAAACTATTAGTAGGTGGTGGTCAAGCCTAGTTTGAACGGGCTGTTGAGGGAGAACTGCTCAGCAGCGCTGTGAGGTGCAGCCCACGGAGGAGGCAGCTCTAATATGAATTTAGAGCTGTGCCCCTCAGCCTGCTGAGTGGCGCCTCCATTTCTCCAAAAATGCCGCTGTTCTTACAGCAAAGTGGTATGTCTGCTCCTACCACTAGTCCGAGGAGTGGTCGGAACGCAAGCCCTGCCAGAACCTCAAATAATACAATTTGCTTATTGAGAAAAGGCCAGACTCTGGATAATTTTAATTTTGCACTCACTTTAGGACAACTCGAAAGGCAGAGTAGCGTGGCAGTTAATAATGTATGAGCTTTGGAGTCGGGCAGACTTGGAAGCAAGTCCTAGCTCTGCTCCTCACCTGCTGTGTGACCTGGGGGGCACACCTTCTCTTTCCTTACCTGTGAACTAAGGACAATGCTGGTATGTATCTCATGGGATTGTCATGAGAGAGAACTGTATGTAAATTGTGCATAGTGCCAGGTTCTTACAAAGGACTCAGTGTTAACAAGCAACAACCCCCACTTTGATTTTTAAATCCAACTTTAGGAAGGGGGAAATAGTTCTCTTCACCAAAGGATTCACAAAAGGGTTCCTTTTAAAGGAAAATATGCATTTAAGGACTTGTTTTGTAGGGGTTCAGAATGAGTCACCCCAAGGTGTACTTCTGTGGGCTCATGAGAAACTTCTGCCCCCCCCTTAACTACCTAGAAGAATTTCATTTAGGGACCTTGCCCATAACAAGAGAGTATCAGAGATGACATTTTAGGACCTATCTACAGGGCAAGGCAAACTTCTAATTACTGAACATCTGCTCTTGTTATCCACCTGCAAGGACCCTCCGCCCCTCTGAAGCCCCAAGGTGATCCTTAGCTCAGAGTGTCATCTATACCTCATTGTCCCTTTCTGCCTTTGAACTTCTCCAGCATGAGGCCTCTGATTCTCTCAAGTATGTGGGGTTTCCATACATATGTAATTAAATGTGGTCATTTTTCTCTTGCTCCTCTGTCTCATGTCTATTTGATGATGCGACCAGCCGGAAGAACCTTGAGGGTAGGGGAAAGTGTTTTTTCCTCCCCTGCAGTTTGCAACTTCATCTAAGGAGCACGGAAGCTGATACAGACAGAAGACATTTTTGAGTTCCTGCAGCTCGAAGGAAAGTGCTAGGGTCTGAATGTTTGTGTCTTCCCAAACCCCATTCATATGTTGAAATCTTAACCCCCACTGATGATGGTATTAGGAGGTGGGGCCTTTGGGAGGCGTTTAGGTCATGCGTGTGGAGTCTTTATGAACAGGGTTTATGATCTTATAAAAAGGACCCCTCAGAGCTCCCCAGCCCCTTCTGCCACGTGAGGACACAGCCAGGAGGCTCTGGCTTTGAACCCAGAAAAGAGCCCTCACCTGATCATACTGGTACCCTAATCTCGCACTTCCAGCCTCCAGAACTGTGAGAAATAAATTTCTTTTGTTTATAAGCCACACAGTCTGTGGTATTTTGTTATGTCAGCCTGAACAGACTACGATAGAAAGTATAGTTTGAATTATAATGCTTCAACATATACAAAATATAGGAACTCAAGTTACCAACTGTTGAATGTGTGGTATAAAAGAATGAGATTTTTATATTGCACCAGGGTTGATGGGCTTGGGCTGTTGGGTACATTTGACAGTAGTGAGGCCATGCTATTGGAGGCTGGTCTGTGTGCTTCTTACCATCTCTAGATCACAAGGGCACACGCAGACACTCACTCATGGGGGCACCCTGTGTATGAGGTTTGGAGAGGATGGGGGAGTGAGAACCAGCAACTGAAAGGGAATATGGCTATTGGGAGGAACAGGGAGAAGATTCAAGGCAGAATTGGGAATGTAAGAAAGATTTATCATCCCAAATCCCTCAATGCTTAGTGATAGCATTTGGAGTATGATTCCTCCGTCTTCAAGAGTATAAGGGGGAAAAGTCAGCTTTGGACCATTTCCAATTCAGATGGAAGGAAAAAGAATTAGAAGTTGCATGCAACAGGGGAACACCCCCTTGATGTTGATTCTAAACCTAACAATAGTTTTAGCTATAAGTTAAGCCCTATCATCACTTAATAATTTACAAAAAGCTTTCACATGTGTTAACTATCCCAGAAGCAATCTCACGCAAACAGCAGATTTCTTCACCACCAGATTCACCTTAATTTTTAGACTATATGAACAAGAGAAAGTCCGTTTGCCCAGGAAATTGTGGGAATAATTATGGGAGGGAGGTTAAACTAAAACCTGTAAGTAAATGCCTTTACCTTAATCTGCCACACGCACTGGTTAAATATTCAGGGTTACGTAGTAGAGAGACGTACACGTAAGTT